GTACCGTGGCTCGGCTTGCTAAACCCGGAGCCTTTATTTTTTGTTGTCGTGGTATTGTAGTGTATTGTATTTTTTCCAAGCGAGGGTGCCAGTGCAACTCGCCCTGTAAGGCAAAGGGACCCAGAAACAGAGAGGAAGATAAAATGAATTTAAATTCCAAAGGGGTTTCAGTGCTGGTTTCCTAGTCCCCGAGTCAGCAATGTGTTTGTGAAAATTCAGCCTTTTTGTCTCTTAGAAAAAAAGGGCTAAATCTACATCGGTGGCCCAGTCTAGGTTTGCTATTCTTTGCATTTTCTATTCAAGTGAATGAGAGTGAATGAAGTGGCCTGGGACCCTTTATTTGATCTACTCAATTGCATAAAGTGACAGAATTCTAATATATTTGTTTAATGCTCTTCAATGGGGCTTTCACTTTCTAGCTTGCAAATGAAGCCTCGATCTGCAAAGTTTTGTCCTTTTTTTCTTTCCACCTTTTTTTTTTTCCTGGCAGAGAGACCATATTTCATAACTTGGGCCACGGTTTGAAGTGATTTCGAGAGGAGTTTTAGACTCGAAAAGTGGGAAATAAAGAAACAGATGTGAAGTTATTGTAAATTCTTATAGTGGGCTCTGGGGCTATTGTAAACCCACTGCAGGCGGTCCAAAGCCTCTCTTTTTCATGCTGTAATTGAAACATATTAATTAGATAATTTGTTGTTAGTTTAAAAGAAACAAATACAGCCCCTCCAAGGCTTCACAGCCTCGGTTTCTTTTTGTTAATAAAAACAAAACAAAACAAAACAAACAAGAAAAAAAACCAAACCAAAACAACCCACAAAGTGACATTTCTATTAAGATTCCGAGATAATTCGGCACTGAAGTTGATGAAGCTGCTAAGTTTTTTCTCCCTTTCCCAAGGACCACTTGAAGAAAGGCTGGCTCATAAAACTCCCTCTCAGGGGTCGCCGGGGAGTTCTTTTCTCCCTACCTGGCACAGACCGCCCTTCCCCGCAAGGCGCGGTCCGAGAGAAAATAAATATTCTGGGTGAGAAAGAGCTGGCTTTCTTCAATAGAGGATTCAGTCTTGTGGGGTGGTGTCTTGTCACACGTCGAGGGGAAAGAAAACAAAAAAAAAGGGGGGGGGGCAGAAAAAGAAAAAGGAAAAGAAGTATCCCGACGAGAAAGGATTCACATACCATGCACTGACATGAAGCAAAAACCCGAGTCGCCAAGCACGACTGGGTTCCCGGGCTTACCTTGCACAGCCGGGCTCAAACTCATCCTCCGGAAGAAAAGAGCTTTTGCCTAGAATGAACGGTCTCTTTGCATCAAGTCCGCCTAGCTTATAATGTCTCGCTGGCAAATAAAATAAAAAATAAAGAAATCCCCCCCCCCGCCCCGACCCCCGCGAAATATCTAAACACGACGGCGAGCTCGGCCGTGGCTGATTCACTCGCCCCCCTTCGCCCATTCCCTGCGCGCTGTTGTCTCTCGCTGTTCTATTTCAGATCTGTGTTTATTGACATTGGACTTGAGCCATTAGGGAGATTTAACAAGTCAAAGCAGTAAATTCAAGCGACGCGCCGAGCTGCGTATTTGTTTGAAATAAGCGCGGCGACATTTGGGGGAGCGGGGCGCGGGCGGAGATGCGCGGAGGAGCGCGGCGCCGGCCCCGCGGGCTGCGCGCTGGCGGGCGCGGGTGGCGAGGGGGGTCCTCGGGCTTGGCCAGTCGCAGACATAGAGGAAAATGGCACTGTAAAAGTTCGGTTGCGAGTCGTACTGTCGGATTATGTGGTGGGGAAGCTATTGCACCTTTGGAAAATATTTTGCTTTGGGGCATGATCTTTTCAGATCATTATCTCCGCTGATTACTATATAGTTTAAAAAAGACCCTGGAAGTGCAGCTTCATCTTCTTAGCTGAGCTCGGATTTCATCTTTGAGGATTTGTTCTGACTGCTAGATCTTAAAAGAAAAAAAGAAAGGAAGGAGAAAAAGAGTCCTCGTCGTCAAAAATGTAGGTCATCGCTTGTTTAGGAAAAGTTTGTCGAGTTATGTGTCCATTGATCTGGTGATAAGTTTTGAATGCTTTCTTTAGCTGATCGTGTTGATATAATCGTGGGTTGGACTTGATGAATGAGTTCAGTTGTCCCCCATCTGACAAGCTTTAGCAGCTTCATGCATTTTAATCAGCCCGATGATTCATGTATTTTCCACCTTTTTTCTGTGTGTGGGATCCGTTCTCTTTTTAAAAAATGGTCGCAACTGGATTAATTACCCTCTACATTAATCTTAAAACTTCTGCAAGGACCTCGCGATATGTAATAAGGAAATGAGGATGTCACTTGCGCTGTTTATGGTCCAGAAATTCAGAGAGAGATCAGGCACAGGCAAAACCTCTGTAACATCGTTGCCGTAGAATTAGTGAATCCTGTCGGTTCATTAGAATACAATGTCGTTTTCTTGCTAATAAGCCTTTAAGTATTCGGTTGTCTCGTAACTGCGCTCTTGGTGCACACTGCCTCATCTCCGAGACGCTTATTTACTAATTTCACTAGATTGCTTCTATCATTTTCGACAATTGCACAATCCTTGTAAAAGCCCTAAAAGAACTGGAAAGCCACACTGGAAGGTGCCCGGAATCCAGTTTTCATTGTAACTACTTTGCCCTTACTTTTTAAAAGGGACTGTGTATTGGCTTACAGAAAAGCGGGTACAATTTTAAGTGTTACAGTTTGCAACCTACCGTTTTGGGGAAGTGTGATCAATAGAGATGGAGAAATTATAGCAGTGGTTGGAGTAACTGCAATGCTTGAGGAGGTTTAAATGACAGGTAAAAGGGTACAATAGCTCACTTGTACTCGAAAAAGATTTTGAGATGCCACTTGTAAGAAAAACCACAAGTGACAAAAATTGAGTCTTAAAAAGTAACTAATTCTTTAAAGATTTTTATGTTTGCTCTGTATTGTACAAGCTCACTTATTAGAGAAAATTTAACCGGGAGTATGTAGGTGGTAAGTATACATACACATAGGCATAAATATAATATGTGTTTATATTTGGTATAAGTGTATAGGACACAAATGCGTATATGTGTGTGTGTGCAGATATGTATAGATATATAGATATAAAAACCGCAGAACGCACTTATGTATGTTTTTTCTTTGGTAAACCGGCAATAATGACAATTTCATCTAACAGGTTATGGTATGTTAATAACTACATTTATAGTAACCTCCTGTGAAAAGGCTGTTTAGATTATCTAAATATTGGAATAACGTCATTCCTTTTTTGTGAACTAATGCTTTTACTTTTCTCGTGTGAACTCTTTAAAAAGACAAATAAGAAACTAAATCTGCATTTACATATTTTAATGAGAAAATATTATTTGGACGACTAGGTTCATAATTTAACGTAGACACTTTTTTAACCTTTGTCTTAAAACACACATGCTGGGAACAAGAACACCAATATTTAAAATTCCATGCTTATTCTGTACAAGAAAAAAAAAGTTAAAAAGAAATGTCTTTACAGTTTCAATAGACACTAATGCCGTTGGGGGGGGGGGGGGGTTTTTTTTTTTTTTTTTTAACTTAAGCAGTTCACAGCAGAACGACAGTTCGGTTTCCAGCAAACTACCTAAAACTAGGAAGGAGTATATCAAACAAAAGTGCATTTTACACATTTTATAATCATTCCTATGCACAAACATTTACAGTTTCCCTAGCCCCCTCTCTCTTGTCTGCAAAGCTCCAACAGAAATCAGGATGACCTCCACAGTTTGTACCTGCTGTTGTGTTACTTCTCCACGTTTTACCAGTGACTTCGGCAGCTTTTCTGAAGCTTTGCCGGGTTGTGTGCTCAGTAAGAGGTTTATTTTTATCGTTTGTTTGTTTTTAAGCTACGAGATAAATAGCTTAAAAATGTAGAAAACAAAGAAACCCTCAGCTCCCCAAACCTTCAGGTTAATCGGAAGTTAACAGCCAAATCAACTTCTCTTTCTCTTCCACCCGAAAACTGCAGTAAGCATCCACGTTACAACAGGTACTGCAAAGGGGACCTCATCTGATTTACAGTACAGCTGCAAGTTCAGTATTTACATTACGACAGGCGCTTTGTAAACAATATAGGTATGGAGTGAGTGACCGGGTGCCTTTCCGTCGGACGGCGTCCTGCTCCGCCGGCGCTCCCCACGCCCGTCCCCCGCCGCCCCC